AGTGTGACGTGGGCAACGTTGCTCGCCTCCGTGACTTTGGTTCACAGGTGCCCACTGGGTAACGCGAAATGAGCAGCAATTTTGGCATAGTATAGGCAAAGATACAAAATTCAGTGCCTGCCATTGGAAAAAAAAAAACAAATGAAACCTTTTAAGTTTTCTGTTTCATGTCACTTTTGTTTCCTTTTCCTTTTGTTTTTGTTTCGTGAGTTTTGAGAATGGGCACTTATTTTTGAGCACATGAAATATGCCAACTCTTTCCCTATCTTCGATATTTTTAAGAAAATAAAAATTCTAAATCGTCGTGTATTTTTTTTTTCTATTTTAGTTTAATGAAATTATTTATTTTAAAACTTTTATTGTTAATAAACATTTTTAAGGATATAGTCAGTTGGGTTCTGCATAAAAGAAAAATGATTGGCTTATAACATTTTAGCAATAATAATTCTTAAACAGTTAGCACTTAGTCATTAAGGCTTTTGCATTTAAGATTCCTATAACAAAGAATTGAAAACAAAATCGAGCATGTAAACAAGAACGGACCAAAGCTAAAAATAATGACCCCAAGGTCAGACATCTCAAACCACTGGTTGCCTCCATGAACTGATACCTCCTAGAATTGAGAAGGCTTTCGCACGGGTTATCATAAACAATAAATCCAATCCTTCAGTAATACAAACCTAGTGTCATATTTCTTATTTCGTAGTAGTCTGAAAGTTGTGACACTTTTCGTATTTTCCCCACTGCGCAGTGTCGCAATCCGAAGGTTGTGATATCTTTCTTATTTCCTCATCGCCGTGAAGTTTATGCAACGCGGTTAGTACTATTACATTAGTAGTTTCTTCGGACTACTAATGTAATCCGTGCGAAGGCCTTCTTTCTGCCAGAAGGCTTTACCTGATCTCGCGGACGCTCTCGTACCTCATTATTTCGCTGGGTTAAAATTGTGCTGCTTTTCGGCCTAATGCATTCCGTATTATATAGGCTGGGATTTCGGGAAAACTGACATCATTTCTAAGATTCACTACAGCATTTTTTTTTTTCCATTTTTTATTCATTTTTTAACAAGTCTTCACATGTTACTATCAAAACTCCGCCGTATTCCCTATTGAGTCAAACGTATTGAATTTTTCTAATGTGCGATTTAAAAAATCAAGCCAAATTAGCACAAACAGAAACACAAAAATTGATAAAGCTAATACCTCGGTAATATTCTTTTTTTCTGACAAACTACTCATCCATAAAAATTTGAATTATCTTCTGTCAATTTACTGTAATAAATACTGAGTATTGATTACTATGCTTCCTTGCGGTAAAAGGTTACCTTATATATATACCAACAAAAGCGCTATATTCATGAGAAAAAGCAATAAAAAATACTTTAATTAAACAATTAAGAATACATTCGAAACGGTTTAAATTATTTTAACGCATAATTTTTAAAAATTTGAATAATGATATTTTAACAACATAAAAAATATAAAATATGAAACAAATACAATTCTAAACTTAAAATTTGATGAATAGTTTAGTTTAAGAAAAAAAAAGACACTCGATCAAATTAAACAAATGACAAATACCCATTCAACATTTAGTACGAAAATGAAATATTCTTTTGGCATTTTAACAATTATTCCAGTTCAAACAATTCTCTTTTCTCTTTAAGCGTTAAATTCTCTAAGCATACGCAATTAATCAAACAGAAACTTCATTTCAATAGTACGCTTTTACATTGAAATGCAGTAAAAATGTTATATATTTAGAATTTGATGGATGATTTTATTAAACAGAGTTATACAAACAATTCATTTGTTTCTACAGACATATTTTAGTTCACTTCATTAATAATAATTGTTATTTTAATAAAATCAACCTCAATATAGCTGAGTAAAATTTTTCCTTTCAGAATATTAACGTTATTATTTCTTTTTCTGTTTAACTTGGTTTATTTAAACTTAATATGATCAACCGTTCTCTTTTCTAGTAAAAGAAACAAATGCTGATTATTCTAGAAATTTCTACCTCGAGATAATAGAACTTAATTATATTTTCTGAAAAATTAAACTCATAACTAATTAACAGTATTTGAATAACTAAAATAAAATATTCTTCAAAAATAAATAAAAGTATTCACGTATAAAATGTATACAATCCATTAGACGCAATTTTTCTACTTCGTCGATAACACGACAGTACTTTGTGAGCCAAGGCCCTCTTCAGAATATTTTTCCATTATGCTTCCATTCTGGGCAAAGTGTACCAATTTTTCCCTGTTAGTGTTCTTATATCCTCATGAATGCTATAAATTCACCTTAGTCTGAGCCTACCTCTGCTTGGGTTTCCAATTGGTTTAAAATTACTGAACACTCACAGAAAAATCTGTTCCACGCCAAACTCAAAGTCAAAATTTTTGGAATTGTGTAATGATTGCATAACAAAGGATAAGATTAACTATAATTTCACAACAATTAACATCATGTATTATTAAATTTTATGATTTTAAAAATTTTTAACTTCAAAATTTCTGACAGTATAGCAGTAGATTTTTATTATTATTTTTTTTTTTTAAATGGCGTGTGACTTAGAAAAACAAATCTAGAGCTTTATCACTCATATAATGAACCTGACATTATTTACTATATTAAATGACAAATAATAAAATGAGCAGGCCACGTTATCAGAATTGAAGAAGACCATACCGAAAAAAAGAGTTTTCAATGCCAATTTCGTGTGCCAGACCAGTTGGCACACGAAAAAGAGGCAGGCTGAATTTGAGATGGAGAGATGGTCTAGAAAAAGACGTTTCTGTCCTAAAATCTAAAAACTGGAAAACAATAGCAGGAAAAAGGTTAGCCTAGGAAAAACTTTTTGGGAAGGCCAAGGCACACCCTAGGCTGTCAAGGAATTGATGATGATGATGTAACAGTAGTTACAAAAAAATTTTTAGTCAACTTTTAAAACTATTTGCATATTATAGTGATAATTTTTTGAGCTAATTTGTTTTATTCTTATCAATGACCGAATCTGAATTAAAGTAATTTATTCTTAATTAGTTACAAGAATAAAACACAGTAGGGAATTTTTTAATAATTCACTAAAATAAATTTAAAATAATCTAATTTGCTCTTTACTGTTTTCTGCTCTCGGAGCGAAAGGTTCGAGTCTTCAGAGGCTTGTGAGACACTTATAAAAATTTGAAATATGCTACAAATTTCAAGATTCTTTAACAGATGGTATTGTTAACAGACAAAACTATAAGACAGTATTTTCGAAATAACCACGCTTTTCAGTGACAACGGCTGGAAAAAAAATTAACTGACACCACACCAAGGCAAACTTTTCAGTTGGAATAGTCTAGCATGCAGCAAAAAACAATGCTTCATTACTTTCTTTGTGACAAAAGCGTACTCTGTTGACAAAATGTGTAACTAATGTTATAATGTGAAGAGAAGAAAATCTATGTTCTTTTAATTAGATTGTAGCAAACCGTAAATTTTAGGTTATGAAATCGTTGATCCCTTTTGGAGACACACTCATAAAACTAAACAAAGAATTTACACAAAACAAAGAAATTATAATTTTAAATTTAAATTACACTTGAAGTTGAGAAAAATTAATATTTTTATTAAACTTATTCTGATTTTATTTAACGCTAAAACTTCTTTTGATACTTTAAAAACCTTCGAAAATTATAGCTTTTTTTCTGAAGCAACTTAAACTTTCTTTTCCAAAGGCTTTTATGATATTAATATGTAAGAATGTTTTTTTTCAAAATTAATATTTTCAACTGCCAAGCAATTTAGTTTCAGTTTTATTGTAGACATAGCCTTTACATTTGATGAATATTTAAATTATAATAAGTTTTTTCATTTTTCATGGAGGATTAATTTTAGATTAGGTTGATTAAACATGGGTTAAGGAATATTTATTAGCACAAATAAATCATTTCATTCTAATAATTAAACTAAAATTGGATTGTATTTAAAGTTTTAAAATTATGTAGAAAATAAATATAATTTTTCAAACGTCTCTTTGAATTTATTTTAATCACAACCAAAGTCAAAATTCTTGATGGTCTTCCATTGATAGACCAGCATATTCTTGATGGTAACCATCAATAATTGCATCATATACCATTATATTTTTTGATGGTTACCAACATATATAACAATATATACTCAATGTAGGAATTTGAACTGATTTATGATGGTCCAACATAAGAATTACAACTTGTTTTGATGATTTGTTCATGTTGAGCCATCACGAATTTCCAAAGTAGTATCTCAGAAATCAAATGTTGGAACTATCATAAACAACCATCTTCCCAATGAAGGAATTTGGACTGAACTATGATGGTCCAACATAAGAATTGCAACTTATTTTGATGGTTTGTTCATGTTGAGCCATCACGAATTATTAATTCTCGTAAACGTAATTAAAACACAACTTCAGTATATTTTGAAAAAGAACAACATCTACCTTTATTTACAAACGACTACTAACTAAAGTGTTGCCATGCAGAGACAACTGAGTTCTTTTACTTAATCTCGTTGCTAGGTAATTACAGGCGTGCAACATCCTCCCCGCCCAGGTCGACCTCCAGGGGGATGACCAGCTGCACGGGTCGGGAAATTGTCCCTCCATTTACAAGCAGTATGCATGTACGGGCTTTGTTGTCACGGCCTAAGATTACTGACTCGACGCGTGCTTTCCTCCAGGTGTGCCGAGGTCTGACGTCCTCCTGCAACAAGACCACATCTCCGACCCGGATTACAGTACCTTTAGATGGGTTCTTCACATGGTGAAATGTTCTCAAGTCCATCAAATACTCCTTCTGCCATCTTTTCCGAAAGGAGTCCATTAAATGTTGACGACTTCTCCATATGCGTGTTAAATCAGAGTCCAAACTCGATGGGCCAGAAGGGATAGTTGTGAGTCGTTTCCCTATCAGAAAGTGAGAGGGTGTCAGTTCTTCATCCGGATCGTCTGTAATACCATATTCATGAACAAATTGGTCTGCTGTTCACGGCGGCTTCGATATCGCATAGAACCGTGACCAGACTGGTAGTGTCTAAGCAAGCTTTACCAAGGGTCTTCCGCAGACACTGTTTGATAGTACCAATCATTCTCTCCCAAAACCCTCCCCACCAAGCCGCACGTGGGGCGATGAATTTCCATGTCATGTTGTGATGAGCATAAAACTGGTGTACCTTGGAAGAGGATATGATGTTCCACAAGGACCTCAACTCCTTGTCTGCAGCGCCGAATGTTGTGGCGTTATCTGTGTACACAGTATGAGGAAGGGAACGTCGAGATACGAACCGTTGTAGCGCAAGTAAGAAAACATCAGTGCTTAAATTAGACACTACTTCCAAGTGGATGGCTCGAGTTACAGCACACGTAAATATGACTATGTAGGCCTTTGTAACCAATTTTTCGTTTTTAACATAGAGGGGTCCGGCAAAGTCAATTCCAGTTGTTTCAAATGGGGTCGACTTTTGAATTCTTTCAGCGGGTAATGGAGCTTCTATCTGTTCACCACGCTTTTGCTTCAGTATCTTNTTATGATGGTCCAACATAAGAATTGCAGCTTGTTTTGATGGTTTGTTCATGTTGAGCCATCACGAATTTCCAAAGTAGTATCACAGAAATCAAATGTTGGAACTATCATAAACAACCATCATCCCAATGAAGGAATTTAGACTGAATTATGATCCTCCCACATAATAAAGCCGAAATTGTTTTAATGGTACATTCTGAAAACCAACAAGAAGTCCCATTAAACCATCATGGAAATGTATAGATGGAACCATCATGAACCATCACGGATCATCATGTATTGTTGGTCCATGACAGTCAAACTTCTCTTGATGGTTAACTATCATTGAGTTGGAGTAGCATTTTATACCATGAAATGTTGTTTGTTGGCACATCAAAAACCATGAACATGTAATGAAAAATGTTGGATGGTGGTCACCATCGAATGATGTTGGACCATCATGAATTACACTGAAGCCAACATAAACCGTCAAAATGTTTGGATGGAACCATCTAGAATTTTGACTTGAGAAAAGTTGTTGTTGTTTGTATTTTGCAAGTTGTTTTTTGCTAGTTACAAGTTGTTTCAAACATTTTTAATCAATTTTGTTTATTCAACTGTAAGCGTAATGAGGCTCACTTTTTCAATTTTTAAAATGTGTGATCTTCCACATTATTATTATATTTTTGGAATCGTGAATGTTTCGGCACTTTAACTCTTTGATACAGCATTTTTATTAAACTTATTTTTCCCACTTTTCTCCTTAATTTGTATTAATTTCAGTCAAAATAAGTGACAAATATTATATTTAGCAAATTTAATAATTAATGATTATGAAATACAGCAGTGTTCAGTGTTCTCCTTTTGCATTAACACGACTCTCTTCCAAACGAGAATTTTTTAAATTTCCGCTCATTTTCAGTTACTTAAATCTAGGAGAAACAATAATTAATAATTGAATATTCATTAATTTGCAAAATCAATCATTGCTGAATTTTCAGATACAAATAGAGAAACATCTTTTTTTTTCTTTTTTTTCATTTTCAGATTTAATATTTTAGTATAAATATAATTCCGATAATCTAACAGATTTTTAGCAACTATTAAACTGTTTTTTGTAAATAAAAAAGTACCAAAATATATATTTTACTTGTAATTAGATTATACTAAAAAAATATGTTAAAGGGACATATTATTAAAAATAGGGTTTCTAATACTTTTTTCATACTAACTGCATCTTGCCAGAAAATGATGAAATACCACAAACCTCAGCAGCCCTAACGAGAAGCATAAGTTAAATAATTTTTAAAAGCCTATTTCTGGCGGATCAATTATGAATAAAGTTTCTACATCCGAAGATCAACTACAGAAACAATGAATAACGGTAAATTACATTTCGAATCAACGTATTTACCGTTAATTCAGAGAAATGAGAAACCATCTCAACGTAATACGATTATAAGATTGGTAGATATATGGAGCCTTACATAATGGTACTGAAAGCTTCTCTGATTTAACGGGTTTAAATCGAATCAGAAAGGCAACGTTACGTTTGGAAGACAACTAAAGTATTTTATTTAACAGGCAAGTATGTCTTTCCCATTAAAAATTTCGCTTACTCTTTGGCTTTTATAAATTAAATCGTAATTCCATGAGTTTCCAAATAAATATACGAGAATTTAGTATGTATATATAATAATTAATTTTTAAAAATATTACAAATAAATCAAAAATTATTAAAAAAAATACAGACTGAATTTCTGACTTCTTTCAAAAATAAATTTAAAATCAGATTAGAGTTTGCATTTTATTTTTTTAACATTTCACTCGTAAAAAAAAATATTATGAATTATATAGTTTGGACTAATATGGTTTATTGAAAATCAGTATCAAATCAGTAAACTTTAAAACTTATTCACTAAAGCTGTACTGAAATTAAAATTTTTTTCAAACTAATATAAGCTAATAAAAATGAATTGATATTTTTAAATGAGTCAAATTATTTGGCATATTTTCAGCAGTCTAGTGCTTTAAAATTGAAATAAAGACAAAAACTAATGGTTTCAAAACTAATGTCACTGATCATCTGCATAAACATTTTACCTCTCGTTGAAATTATAAAATTAAAAACAATAAGAAAGAAAAATGGTTCTCGAAAGAGAATTTTTGAGTTTAGTAAGAATATTAACTTTAACTGTCCAACTCCTTGTTTGAGATATTTTCTATAAATAAATACTAACTACATTAAGAAACTGAATCTTATGTTTTAGAAATGACATTTTTTTATTAATTTAAAACAATTTTCACAATCAAAACCATTTTAACTCATGTAAATGATTAAAATACTACTTTGTTCAGAAAGGGTCTTAATACTAAAATTGCTTTTATTTTCTTTTTATGAGCTTGGGATTAAAATGAGCAAACGAAGGTTTTGCTTTTACTTTGTAATTGAGATGCATTTCTTTGAAAAATATCCATTAAATAACTTGTGACGTGTAATTTTTTCAAGTTTCTTGGTTTATAAAAAAAACGTTGANCCCATCACTTTCACGTAACCTTCAATTTTGCACGTGTTTCTTCCGGCTGGGTTTTCTAGATCTTTCTAGAATTTTCGGGAGTTCACGCCTTTTTTTGGGGGGACCTTTCCCCTTTGGCATTTTTTTTTTGGTATGTGGGAGTACAATTTTGCACTGATTGGTGGTGACCTAATCGTGTGGTAATTCCCCATCCAATGACAGTCGTTCTCTCTCCTGCTTTTCAACTCGCATTTTCCCGCGCTTAAGTGACGCCATTACCATTAACGTTTTTGGTACCACGAGAGACACTTCTCTCGGGGATTGCGGTGCGGCTGGTAAGCTGGCCTTCTTGGTCAGCGAGCCACGCCAAACCACCCCAAAGCTACATTTTTTTGCCATTTTTTTTTTTATTTATCATTTTCATTTTAGATCAATTTTGAGTTTGGCCAATTACTTCCCATTTTTTTATTTAACAACACCCCCCCCCCACTCAGGGTATTCGATTGTCCTCTGTAAAAAAAAATTTTAATAAACAAAAAATGTGAACGTGAATACCTTGCTTTTTTTTTCGACATTTGTCTTCTCTTTCCTCGACGTCTTCATGTTTGTTCATCGAGGTGAGTAACTCATTTTTTTTTTTTGTATTTATTTGACTAGAGGATAGTTGCAACTGATTTATTGTTGTGTATAAATTTCATAGTTGTTATTCAGTCGTCCCCTAATTTTATCTTGACCACGAGCCCTTGCTGTTGGGTTAATTCACGTGGCACTTAAGCAATTGTCCTCCCACTATTTTCGATCACTTTTGGCCTTTTCTTTACATCAATTTATGATGCTCCAAATTTATTATCAAAATTTATTATTTAATTAATCTCTCTTTTTTTTTATTGTCTTAAACTTTATCGACTGAATACCTCTATCAAATTTTACAACCCATTCCTTTGTATAATATATTTAATGGTAACATCACCTTTAACTTTTTTAAGATGTTCCTTATTGGTACACATCACAATAAATTTATAATAATAAAAATTTTCCACTGGTACACTGACCAACTCCTTGTTTGAGATATTTTCTATAAATAAATACTAACTACATTAGGAAACTGATTCTTATGTTTTAAAAATGACATTTTTTATTAATTTATAACAATTTTCACAATCAAAACCATTTTAACTCATGTAAATGATTAAAATACTACTTTGTTCAGAAATGGACTTAATACTAAAATTGCTTTTATTTTCTTTTTATGAGCTTGGGATTAAAATGAGCAAACGAAGGTTTTGCTTTTACTTTGTAATTGAGATGCATTTCTTTGAAAAATATCCATTAAATAACTTGTGACGTGTAATTTTTTCAAGTTTCTTGGTTTATAAAAAAAACGTTGAGCAAATATGTTTCTAATAAAGATTAAAGTATTTTAAAATAAGTTGAAAATTCCGATTTAATAAAACTAATAAAACAATGGAAAAGAAGTTAGATTTAGGTAACATAAGAAATTTAGCTGATGAAAAATAATACCATTTACTTTCACTTGATTAAAAATTTCCTTTTCTACAAAAATACACATATTAGAAACAATAGTCAGCATGTTTCAAGCACTCCAAAAAAGTCACCTATTTTCAAGACTTGCCAGACGTGAATGAGAAGAAAAAGTGATTTGAACTATGAAATACGAAAGTTGCCAACGAGAAATAGAAAAATAAAGGTGAGAAACAGAAATATAAAAGCCAACTCTCTCGGCTCCTGTGGTTTTTCCATTTTTATTTTGTACCTTTATTCTTCCATTTTTCGTCGAAAACGTTCCATTTTTCGTTTATTATATTTCAAATCACTTTTGTTTCTTCTCATTAACGTCTGGCAAGTCTTGAAATTGGGAGTCTATTTTTGAGCGCTTGAAACATGTCGACTGTTAATTCCAATTTTTACATACATATATATTTTTTTGGAGAGAATGACGTTTTTAATCAAATAATATGTTACCACTTCAGTTCTTCGGGATTATTTATTTGTATCATTTTTTTTAAATTTCTGACAAACTTTATATAACGATGCATTTTTTTAAAAAAAATACTATGTAAATGTAAATCAAAGTAGCTGCAAAAACACTGAATTGCAATGTTTTTCTATTATTCATCTATCCTATTACTATTTCAAATATTTAATGTTTTGTAAAATAGTATATCAATAAAGAATGTTAACTTGTAATATGACCTCTTGTAATCACCACAGAAAACGATTATTTACCCAGGCCCCGGAAACTATCAAATACAGATCAACGAGTGCAGGCCATAGATAATTGGAAAAAAAACACCAAACACCAAACCGATGGCTCACATATTCCAAGAGTTCTAACAAGCATCCGGGAATGTTGTTTTGATCAATAGAATGATAAATTTTTTAATCAATTTACGTATTTCTAATAGTCATTTGAGTCAAGTCATTGTAAAATTTGCAGAATATTTATGAAAGATATGAATTCAAAATCCTCTTTGGGCATATATAATTTTAGTAGTGCATTTCA